TTCTACTAAAAACTCTACTTTTTAGTCTTCTCTCCCATCTGTTTACCTGTCAGACAGGCTGGAAATTCAGCATTCAGGTCCTCTGCTCAAAACACAGCAACTATTTTATATTCCTCTGACAGCATTCTAACTAAAAGTAATTAAGTACAATGGTACATTTTCCTAAAATGTGGTTCCTTTTAAATATTCAATGTGTTTTTCCTCCCTGAAAAGAATATTCCTTCAGTTCGTATACACTTAGTATTGAACATCCAGTATGATTCTGTTTATCTGTCTTCAGTCAGAGATCTTATCCTATCATCAAGTAATTAAAATTCTGACTTCCACAGGTTTAAAATCAAACACTTCTAAGTAATCTTGAATAAGTTTTAATTGCAATTTAAACAAAAACTGCCAATGGTGATATGTGAGACAATCTAGCTGGGCTTTTAAAGTCAAGAATAAAATAGCATTGACAAAGTTGACAAAACTGTTTTGTAAACTGAAGAGACTATAAATTGAAATATATATTACCCAGCAATACTATTTTTAAAAGGTATAATTCATAGTACAGCTACAATTTACAGTAGCAGCAAATCAATGTTTCAAATGCTTCCCTTGCAGTTCTCATAACAAGTCTTATTCAATCTTTTCCTTACTGGTGGCCTTCAGTATAAAAAAAAACCCCAAGTCTAAAAATGCATATTTATTATATTAAAAATGCTAGCATTTATCTCATCTGTCCCTCTGCTATCTGTAAACTTACAGCTCTACAGTTTTTTTGAAGTCACACCAAGTTAAAAGGTGAAGAAACTTGTAATCAGAAAGGGGTCAGAATCCAAGACTCCTATCTTATTTTCAAGACAATACCTCCTGCAAAACAGCACCTAAGAAATACCCCAAAGCTCTCTCTTTGTGGGATCTATTACATACTATCCAAACAATGACCAAATTCAAAATGATTTCATTTAGGAAGTTCGACAAGATAACAATTTAAGAAGATATGCTGCATCTTCATGCTAATTAGCAATGGTAGATTCCTTTGTGTTGTTATGCTACCCGGCATTTCCAAATTGAGGTTTTTTACTGCAAATCACTCTTAACAGGTTTTTTCCCCTCCCTGTTCTTATATAATTCTCATTCTGAGTTACTTCAACCAAATTCATCCCTTGCAAGATGCTGCATCCAAGATCTACGCACAATTCTTAGGAGGAAGTAACCTAGCTGAGAGTCCCTCACACATACTGTGGTCCTCTTTTTTGAATTCTGCATATTAAAAATATATTTTATTCTTTTTTTCTTTTTTAACAGAGTTGCAACAGTTTTTTCAACAGCAATACTCAAACTTTTTAACAGTTTTCCTGAAAGCCTAAAACATGAGTCACTTCTATTTCAATTCAGATTTTTCTGAGTTGTAGAAAGCACAATGGTAGTGAAATGACAATATTTCCATATTGTATTTGAATTTTTAAAACCCTGTTCCTTCTTCCAAAGAAAGTGTTTACACAGAAATAAACACTGATTCCCAGACTTGCTCTCATGCCAATTTTATTCAGAATTAAATTGCATGATCAAATTTGAAACCACTTAAAGGAAAAACTTTCAACAGCAGCAAAACCTATTTCAGGACTCAAAGACCATCCTCTTCCATCTCAGGTGAATGCTATCTGCTGTTTGTTTAAGAATGGTAAAATCCTAAATGCCAACAGAGAGGCTCAGTCTTAGAGGATGAAAAGTTCCTCCTCATCTGCAATAATTCAAACATCATGGCATTCCCTGAATTAAAGAGCCCAAGCTGATGACTGCTCAGGTCAGTGGCAAGATTCTCAGTAGCAACCATGATGTTTAGATTGAATCTGTATTTTCAAGTATAAATTAACACCATATAATATATCCAGAATAACATATCGTATTTTGCTTAACTTCTACTTAGTTCACAATATCTGTACTGAAGTATTACCAGTAAGATCTCAACTCTCTTACTCTTCATCCTCTGTTGGGAAGAGAAAAAAGCCTGCCAGTATTTTAATCCACAAAATTGAGAACTGACTCTCTACTGAACAACCTGGGTGCACGCACAAAGTGAAGCTAATAACGCTACAGATGTTCATGGCATGATTATTATGTCTTTCACTGAACATTTTCCTTACCTTAACTAATTTAGCCAAACATATTTCAGAACCAGTCACGTGGATGGTTTGTAAAAAATAACTGCACTATTAAAATGGAAGAGGTTTAGTAACATGACTCAAAAGGCTACTACTGTGTTCTAAAATGTGGCACTTTAATTTTCAGACTACACACAAGCAAACTGTTTTCTGTAACGCTTGTTGATAGGAGGTTAAGACCCAGGGTATGTACAACCTTTGTACACAAAGGCCACATTAAATTAACTGTTACTAAAAACTGTAGAGCAGCTCTGTTGGCAAAGCAATTTTTCAGACAACAGACATTTGAAAATCGGTCCAGATAATAAACTACATTTGGACAGTAACCGTTACAGCTGGAGTGTCTAAATACAGTAAGACTAAGGGGAATACAGACTACCTGTAAAACTCTTCTGCATCAATGCGTACAGACTTTGAGAAAAGTAAAGGAAAAATGTTTTTTCATGCTTATGTCCTTCTGACAGGTGCACTGCAGTTTCTCGACACTCAGGTTCAAGAATCAAGTTAAACCTGAAGCTTTCTCTCAGCTTTTAACTGTTTGCAGAGGACACTCATGGCCTGAATTTCCAGTCATTCCAGCTCTTTGATAACCTGTATTATTTTCTAACTACCTGTTCATTCCCTAAATTTTAAGTATATTCACAGTGTAATGCTAAGTGCACTAAAATGGTTTTCTAGTCAAAAAAAAAAAATGTTAAGCACTTTGCCAGTTCCAAGAAGAGGGATCACAGATGGCATGTGAACCTACCACTGCGACAGAGAGCCGAGAGTCTTACTCAGACTCAGAGCTCTGCTGCATCTGTTAAGACCACAACGTTTCATGAACCCACAAGTAGCACAGGATGCATTTTTTTGGCCAACTTTATCCTTATCTCTACAGAGAATATTTTTCTCTTGTACTTGGAGACTTGTTTCCCACAAACCAAATCCGTTTCTGTTTAAAGGAAAACCACAATGTGGCAGGTACGCATCGCACCCAATTCCAAAAGGACAGCTCAAAAGTTTTAATCCCTTAAATGTAATTTTAGTATCAAGCGGATGGTAAGTGCTATGAAATAAAAATAAAGCTCATTGTTCCTCAGGATGGTTTTTGCACTCCCACATCTTGCATCGCAGGTAAAACTGGGCCTTGGTATAACCATCACTAAATGAAGTTCTTCCATGCACACTACAGTGGGACCTTTTCACTGCAAACATGGCCAGCTTCAGACTGAGAGCTCAAACACAGAAGAGCCTAGTGACACAGAAAAGTACCCCAGAGTGGTTTCAGATCTCTGCAGTGGAAGTCAGAAATTTAGGAAGATCTGAAAATACCATGTGTTGCCTTTCTGGGTCAAAAGGTACTTTTATGACTTAAAAAAAGAATGCAACTCGAGGGATTTATTTTGTGTGTTTTAGGTTTTTTTAGGCATAGGAAGGAACCTGTCCAAAAACTCAAATCAAATAGTCTTCTTTGACAGGCTTTAAACATGGCTTTAATTGCCCAAAGGGTAAATATGGTAAATAAAAAGGCATAAAACTATGAAAGCTACAAGTTTGACTACTCAATTAGTAAAAAAACATTCTAGAGCTCCATTAAAAGTTACACAATAATTATAGGAGGACTATGCCTTTCCCAGACTTTCTAATAATAAAAATTAACTTCCTTTGTGCAACCTGCTTCCTAGCAATATGTGGGAAAAATGCCAGTTCTCATGGTGACCGAATAATTCACCATAATCAAGTCAGTTAAACCAGTTATTTGTAAAATCTACCGCAAATATTTTAAATAATTCATTTAGCAAACATCAGTTCAGCAACTTCAGACTAATTATTGCAGTTTTCCTTTAAATGTTCTTGCCTTATGTAAGCTGATATTTATCTCCCAAAAAAAAAAAAAAAAAGAAAGAAAAGCTTCTAGCACAAGAGGCAAAAAGGCATGTAACCCAGTAAAAATTGGCAAGCCAAAAAGTTTATTTTTATGCGATTTTATTTTTGATTGCCACATGATGACGGTTCTACGGTATAATACGCTGCAAGAATAATTCACGCAAAATCCTGTCCACAGCACTTGGGCTAATAAAATAGCAAAGACTCAGCAGCTAAAAAAAAATCTGAAGACTTCATCTTTGTTTTGTTGAATCATGAGAAGGCCCCTATAATTTGCTGCCTCCAATCTTAACACGGATGTGTTAGAAAATGAAAAGTATAGAAACTACAGGTCCTTATGGCATAGGAAAATGGTAACAGCGTTGTCTAAAGGTTGAAAATTTAGGTGTGGATATAACTTGGGCACCTGCATAAACAGATTCATATTCATGTCCTAAAATAGGTGACCAGCTACAATCTGTGAGAGTTTACAATAAGGCTCAGTAGGTTTGTCATGCACTGAAACGTAGAGCTGAAAGCACAGCATAAGTGCAATAGTGAACAGGGCCTTCCTCTAACACGGGCAAGAGCTGTGCCGTGTTATTTCTAATACAGCTGCCGAGCTGTGGTCTTAATATATTAAAGCAAAGCTGGCCACTTATCTTAAGAATGTATTTATTAGATTATCACCACCTAATGGGATTTGACAGCACTGATAGGTGTTCATATAGGCTTACAAAGGAAAAGATCTGAAAATTTCAGAATTCAGAGATAAGTCTTTCCTCCCATTTACCATTTCTATGCTCTGCTGCTGTGCAAAAGTGCACTGAAACCTCAGAACTGATTTTAAAATTTGCCCGTGTCTCGTTAACGTACTGCAGTCTTCAAATTTACAGAGAGCTGCAGTTCTCCTGGTTTTTCTCAAGTGTCACTCATCTAATTTGTCATGACAGCTGAGAAACGATGTCAGATGAGTTACAGTTCAGTTTAAAAAACATCCTCTACCTGGTATCTCTGCAGTGATTGTCTTGCTGCTCCCTGAAACCTCTTCATCATCATCTGATGAACTCGTGCTCGAGTCACACGTCAGGTCACTATCACTGGTACTGCTGTCCTGCAGCAGGTTGTACTTCTTGCGAGCAGCCGCCTCCCGTTTCTGTCTTAAGAGCCTGATTCTTTCTTTGTGCTTTTGGCTTCGATGACCTTTTACCTTGGTAACTCGACCATTCTGTTTATCACTAGACTGTCGGTTTTTCTTGGCAGCCATTGTTGAAGTTTCACTTTCAGACCTGGATCGCCTGGATTTCCTCCCCACTGCAGCCCCAGACACCGCAGAAGGGTCTCCCTCTACAGCAGCTTCAGCTTGACAGGGCTCATTCTCTTCTGTGGAAGACAACGTATCTGAGTCAGCCAAATGCCCACTGGAAGAAGGGGAAAGCATGCAATGATTAGAAGAGTCACTCTCATAAACTCGACCACCCGTTGGCTTATCACTCTCTGTAGATGCTAGCTGAGACTCCGAGGAGTCTCGCCTCAGTTCCATCAGTAAGCAAGGCATGGAAGAGAGCACCGCAGAGTCTGCTGCAGCGGGCACGTCGTCTTTCTGAGCTTGTGTCTCCAGTTCTATAGGTCCATCTTCATCAGGAGCAGTCTCTTGCTTTTCAGAAGTCTTTGTTGGAACTTCCGAATCAACAAGTTCTTCTGCTTTTCCCACTGCCTCCATCTTCATTTCAGAACACCAAGGTCCTCCTGATCTCAAAGCATGGAACACACGGTCTGGAAGACTGGGTTAACCAGATCTGGACTTCAGCAATACAGCAGCCTGCACAAGAAGAGAATAGGAAGAATAATTTACCCAAACAACTCACTCATCCTGCTCCTCACAGTATTACCTAGTTAACTCATTGCTTTCAATTACAGACAGTATGGTTCAGTATCGTATGTGATCTCATTTCTATGTGACCTCATTTAGGTTCCTGCTCTGGCAGGGGGATTGGACTGGATGGTCTTTCAAGGTCCCTTCCAATCCCTGACATTCTGAGATTCTGTATTAGTTTTCTTCATTTGCTTTTTCCTAGTGAACTCATCCTGCTACACCAAACTATTCTTCCTTTTACACACTCATGAAAGATGCTACTGGAGTCATGTTAAATGTGGCTGACCTCACTAGAATAGGCAAAACAGGTCAGAAAATAATAAAAATATTTCTAAACTCTTACTTGATAAGATTTAATTCAATATATTATAAGGAACATATGCTCAGCTTCTTTACCTAGAAATCTAAACTTATTTTAATGGAAAATTTTAGCCCTTATGAACAATGCCAGCCTGAAAATTCTCAGACTTGGTAGTCATCTACCTGGACAGACCAGAATACAGTCCAGTTTCCATATCTACAACAAATCTATTTTCAGTTGCACAGGCCATCAACCTTGCAAAATTACAAGGTTTTTATGGTAATTTGCAAATTTACAGTACCAACGTGACACAGGAGAAATCCAGTTACTTTGAGCAGAAACTGAGCAGTTGCTGAATGTCACAGAGCAGAGCCTACAAACACCTTCCTTTCCCAGTGGAACCACTCTGCCAGGAGATCTCGCGTAACAAAGATGTATTTCCAAGAAGCACCATAAAGTGATACTAAATTGACCAGGTCACAGGACTTAAGATATCTACAGGCAAGGTCTTTAGGAACATTAGCTGTGTGTAACACGGGATTAAGTTCTCAGTGGAGAACCACCACGCTCGTGAGTCACATAATGACTTTTTAGGAGTATTTAATACACCATTCAAGTGATCTTTGAGTGTCTCCCATACAAGTCCTGTTGTATGAGAATCTATAGGCTGACCTAGTTTCTCTCAAATTTGCCAGGAAAACAGCATCAAATAGTATGGGCTGCAAGCAAGAAACACTATCCACCCACACCAGTATCCTACATTGTACTTCAAGTTATAATTTAATAAATGGCATTGCTTCAGTGCCAACACAAAAAAAACCCCAAGCTATTTATCCGATTGATAACTTGCACGTTATCAACCCAAAAGTACACGAAGCACCTTCAGGGGAATTTTTGGTTTAGAGATCACTATTTACCGTGTTGCCTTCATTATCCACACTCTGCCATCAATCTGATTTCACACTCGGAATTCAACCTAAACATCTTTTAATTACTGCATTCGCTTACAGATGAATGGAATTAAACAAATCGTTTGTAAGTGATAAATTTATAGCCCTTCAAAAAAAGTGCAGGCAGGAAAAAGCAGTGTTAAGACTTAACATACTGTGTTTTAAAAATGCATTTCTGCAGACAAAGGCAATTAGTACTTCAGCAGCCTGAGAAAGCACCGATGGGTCAGAGAGATTTTTCTGCACCCCGATAATCCTCCTGCAGTTTCCTGATCCATCCCAAGCTGCCTGTAACTGCACGTATATAATTGTATGCTGCTTCCCCCTCCCTCCATCTGCAGCATGGAATAAAGGTTCCTCCTCTGTTTCCAAAAGGTGCTGTGAAAAGCTCGAGTTGTCCTATCTGCCCTAAACCACTTTGAAACTTAATTTTTAAAGAATATTAAAACAGAGTGCATGCTTACTGCAGGCTTATGAATGAAATGAAAGAAATGCTGAATGGTGCAACAGAATGATGAAAATACTTATGGGAGAGAAACACCAGTTAAGAAAGCGAGCTTAGTTAAGGTCAGACATCACAAGAAAGATGGGGATGACAACTCTAGGTCTGCCAAATATGAAAAAAACAACCTCACCACAAACAATAAAACCAGCATTTTACTTTAAAAAAAACAAACCCTAACAAACAAACAACAAAAAACCACAAACCAAAATATTCTAAAATACGAGAACATATATATAATAAAAATGTTTGCCAGTACTTGCACTGAGTGAAACTCTCTGGAAAGCAACTTAAAAGAATTTCTGGAGATGGTAATTTAATGTAGGCAATAAATATCATGTAAGAACCAATTAATTTCCAAGGCCACAGCACAGCATCAAGAAACCCAGATACGATTACACAAATTCTGAGACATAAACACATCCCAATACTGTAATAAAACCCGTATTTCTACAAATTTCATCCACAAATCTACATTATCAAATAATTCTCCTATTATGAGGAGAAGTACATTACCTATTAGTAACAACCAACCAACCAACCATTACCTATTGGTTAACAACCACCTATTATTAGGTAAGTAAAACAAAGATTTGATGATCAAATGACTGGCCAAGAGTTATACACAGTGAGATATGTATTATACCTGCTAGTGCAACTCCCAGCTTTGCTCTGGCCATGCACTTTGAAAATAAAAATATCTCTTCCAAGACCTTTGAAATATACTTTCTGCTCATGCAAGGAAAAGTCTGGTAGCTCAAACACATATAGGAAGAATATTAACCTGGCTGAAAGAAATATATATAAAAATTCATACTAATAACTGCAGAACAGCTTCTCCACTGTTCATCCTTTTAGCCTGGGGATCACCAAGGATGGAGCTTGACACAAAGCTAAAGGGCAGCCAGAGTGAACTAGAGATTTTTTCTTTTTTTAAAGTGTTCTTCTTGGGAACATCATCTGCCTCACAGCTCCCAAAGGGACTATGAGAACACCTCTACTTGCCTTTCCACCCCTCTGGCCTATAAGCCAGAAAAAAATTATCTTTCAGCTAATCTTGCTAACAGTCTAACTTAATGACTTGAGAAGATTTTTTTTTAAGTAGGATCCTACTTTAAGTACACAAACCACATTGGTTTCATCCCTCACAGGGAGCACTGAATTACATTCTCAGTAATAATGCTGCACAGGGACTAGTAAATTCACAAAAGTGTATCTGGTTAACACTGATGTGTGTTTCTCTGTGTGTGTACAAGATGCTCTGACAACTTCCCAGGTCCCTTGAACTGGTTATTTTAAAAGTCAACAATTTTGAGTGGGGAAAAAAAGTCTTATCATGACTCAAACAGACTTTGCTGCAGGGAGGAATACAGACAGTTCAGGGGAAAATACCTACGCCAAGGAAAAAAAGGAAAGAAAAAAGGTACTGATTTAGTTCTACCTGAGAAATTTATAGATCAGAGAGGAAGACTATATTGCAAAACTCCCTTTCTTGCCACTGGCTTTTCCAGTAACAGTACTAGAAAAGACAACCTCAAGGTGATGCTAGAGAAAGACTAGTTCCTTACTTATTAAAGAACAACACAGCACTGAAAAATAAGCTGCGATGCTTACAGACACAGATGGATATTTAATCAGACATTGCTCAGAAATGTCATTCTCCTTTTTCTGATGCAGAGATACTGCTCTGATGATTTTAAAAAGCAATCCTGTAAAAACGTCTGTGCTACATTTTTCCAACAGAAATTATTTCATTTTCCAACCACATACAGAAAACACCAGTATGTAGAAGCCATTAAACATCCATCTGTAACTTTACCTGGGAAATACTTTCAAACTGTGGACTCATTTGTTAAAGGCACATAGCTTGTACACTATGAAGACTGCACTTTAGTGAGGAAATCTAGAAGGATTTTGAAGGTCAGACAAGAAGGCAGCCCAGCCAGTCTAACATCTCACTGCCATTCTCAGGGATGGGTTTTACCCCCTACTCTCTTGCCACCCACTCACGACTGCACAGTCACACTCCCTCCTTTGCACCAGAATTGGCTTGAACTTTCTTGGGTGGATTAACTTCACTGAGCCTGCAGAAAAAAAAGCCACACAAAATAAGTGACATTTTCTGCCAGAGTGGCAGGAAGATGAAGGAAGGGAGGGCAAGCAATAAGCCACTGCTAGGAAAAAATCAAATCTGATTAAAAACTACCTGGTCTCATCACACCTTGAACTCAAGTTCTGACTTGACACAGGAGAGGATACTGAGTGTTTCTTTCACAGCACTGTTTGCTCTGAGAAGAGATTTTTGAAGATTAAAAAAATTATTAAAAAGCAAAAAATTAAATTAAAACAGAGGTATTATCATTATATTATTAGCTTCTTAAACAACAACTATCATGGATTGTATGCTATTCAGTAATATATACTGCTGCACAAAGAGCTGTATCGAAGATGGCATGCATGCCCTTTATTAATCGATAACTGGCCACTCATATACCCTTCATAAATTTTTTTGTTCTGTTCACTCTCAGTAGTTGTTCTTTATAATCATATATTCTGCCATGTCAGAAGGAAATGAGTTTCACCTAAACAAAGGATAAGGCCTGAAATACTCAATAAACACCATGAAACCCTAACCTTAATCGTACATTATCATTTTAGGTGTTATTGACCTGACCCATGATAAGGAATGCCCAGCTTTGTATAAAGCAAACCATCTCTTCTTCTCAGCAGCTGTGGATATGAGAGATTCTTACTTCACAAGCACTAAATTTTTCATAGTAGCTTGTTGTTATAAGTCACTTTAGTTTATTACTGACACATTTCCTCTTATTCAGAGTCGAACAGACCATTTCTTTCCCTGGTTAACAACCATAACACCTTCTTGTGCCAGCTCTAGCAATTGTTTAAATTAAAAAACTATCTAGCAAAACATCCTTTTTTAATGCCACTTTAGCACTGAAAAGTGAACAACCTACCTCCTCGCACCACTAACCATTCATTCACAAGCTCTAATTTAAAAAAATGATAAATTATACCTCCATTTTTGCAGAAAATAACACCAACTATGCTCTTTAAGCTTTTGTGACCACGTAAATGAAAATTTAAACTGCGCTGTGGCACAGGAGTTACTTGTTCAGAACGCACAGCTTACTACAGAGATCCTCCCAAAGCCTCTACTGCCTCACAGCTCCAGT